TGAGGATGGGGATATTTGTGGACCCTCCACGTCCAGTGAGTTGTTTAATTAATTATTTAGCACCAGTCATGACTGGATGTGATTGGACTAAGCAGAGCTGGTGGCTGTGGCGTTAACTTAGTTCTGACTATCACTTATTGCTTACCACACAATGCGTGCAGTTCTGGTCTCCCTGCTATCGGAAAGATGCTGATAAACTTGAAAGGATTCAGAAAAGATTTACAAGGATCTTGCCAGGGTTGGAGGGCTTGAGCTACAGCGAGAGGCTGAATAGGCTGGGGCTATTTTCCCTGGAGCGTTGGAGGCTGAGGGGTGACCATATAGAAGTTTATAAAATCATGAGGGGCATGGATACAGTGAATAGCCAAGGTCTTTTCCCCAGGGTAGGGGAGTCCAAAACTAGAGGGTGTAGCTTTAAGGTGAGAGGGGAAATATTTAAAAGGGACCTAAGGGCAACATTTTCACGCAGAGGGTGGTGTGTGTATGGAAGGGGCTGCCAGAGGAAGTGGTGGAGGCTGGTACAATTGCAACATTTAAAAGGCATCTGGATGAGTATGTGAATAGGAAGGGTTTAGAGGGATAGGGGCCAAATGCTGGCAAATGGGACTAGATTAATTTAGGATATCAGGTCGGCATGGACGAGTCAGACCAAAGGATCTGTTTCTGTGCTGTATATAGTGTTGTTCGGTAGCTTCACCAGGATGCCACTTCATTTTTAGGTGAGCCAGGGGCTGCACATGGCAAGCCCTCCGCACTCTCCATTGAAGCAGATCTTGATCCCTGGACCCATGGTAATGTTAGAGTGGGGGACATGCTCGTGGCACAGACTGTGGGTTAATACAACTCTGTTGCTGCTGGTGACCCACAGCGTCTCATAGATGCACAGCTTTTAGCTGCTGGATCTTTTTGAAAGCTGTTGCATTGAGGTCAGCGATAGTGCCCCAACGCAATGGGGAGCACCTCAATGTGAAGGTTAAAGTAAACCTTATAGAGATGCACAATGTCTGAAACCTTGAGAGTCATTGGAAATAACGGTCTACTCTTTTCCCAATCTCTGAGTGACTGGAGAATCTTCAGTCACACTTCAGTTACATTGAGCTTGTGTTGAACTATGTTTAAGTGACTCGATTCAGCTTCCACTACTGTGATAGAGAGTTACCTGTTCTTTTCCCACACAGTTCAAACTCAACTCCTATGATTGAGGCATCCTTTCACTCCCTCATGTAGCTACTCCTGGGTGATAGTAAGAATTAACATCCAACAATGAGGAGAGATCACGGTGAAGCTTCATGGTGCTGCAAAACAGTCACAGGCCATTCAGTCTAACAAGCCCATGCTAGAATTTATATAAAAGCCTCTTCTTGTGTCTTTCTCGCACTTGATTCCAGACTCAAAACATTAACTCTCTTTCTCTCTACACAGAGGATGCCAGACCTGCTGAGTTTCTCCATTGTTCTACGTGTTCGTTCCCCGTCTTATTTCTCTCTGCACCACACACCTACCTATTACTTAAGCTCAACGACTCCCTGTGATAGGGAGCTCTACATTCTCACCATTTTCTACATTAATGATTTTATGTTTCTGTATGTGTGGTCGGCACTACAGCAGAACCCATCGACCAATAAGAACGCCAGCCCAGTATTTAAGAATTGGAGGCAGTTTAAAAGAGATTCATTAGGCTGAAGGGGTTGACTTATCAAGAACAGCTTAAACAGGTTAAGCCTTTTATTCACTAGAATTTAGAAGAATAAGGGTGATTGTATTGATATATACAAGATTGTGATGGGATTTGACAGGGTCGATAAATGAGAAATTGTTTCCCCTAGTGGGGGAGCTCCAAACGAGGGATATAGTCATTGAACAAGGGGTCACTCTTTTAAAACTGAAATACAAAGGATTTTTTTAACCATAAAAGATCTCAGATTGTCTAGAGCCAAGTCTAATCCATTAATGCATCAAGGAGTTTCACTTAACGCTGACCTACTCAGTTAATATTTGCCTCACTCCCGGTATAAGTCCATAAACATTGGAGAGAAAGTAGGCCATTCAGCCCATTGAGTCTGCTCTACTATTCAATAAGGTCACTGGTGATCTGATCATCCTCATCCTCAACTCCACTTTTCTCCCTTTTCCCCATAAGCCTCAAACGCTTTTCTGATTAAAAATCTGTCTATCTCAGCCTTGAATATACTAAACAGCCCAGCCTCAGCAGCCTTCTGTAGGTAAAAAACAAATTCTGCAGGTTCATTGCTCTCAGGGAAGAAATTCCTCTTCATCTCTGTCTAAAACGAATGATTTCTTATTCAGAGATTATGTCCTTACAAGGGGAACCAATTTCTCCACATCTGCCCTGTGAGTCTCCTAAGAACCTTGCATGTTCAATAAAGTTGTCCCTCATTTTTCTAAACTCTAACAGGATCAGGCCCAATCTATTCAACCTCTCCTCAGAAGACCGTCCTTCCTTATCCGCTATCAGCCCAGTCAACCTTCTCTGGGTTGCCACCAATGCAAGAAGACAATGGGACCAAAACCCACAGTATTCCAGTCCTGGTCTGACGAGTGGCCTTGTATAATTTCAGCGAGACTAGCCTACTGTCATACTCTGTTCCCTTTGAAAGAAAGGCCAACATTCCATTTGCTTTCCCTATCACCTGCTGAACTTGGATACTAGCTTTTTATCATCGTTGCATGAGGACTTCCAAATCCTTCTGAGCTGTAGCTTGCTCCATTCAAATAATACTCGGCTGGTCTATTCATCCTGCCAAAGTGCACACCCTCACATATCCCCATATCCCACTCCATCTGCTAAATCTTGGTCCATTCACTTGACCTGCCTGTATCCCTCTGCATCGTATTCATGTCATCCTTACCACTTGCTTTCCCATCTATATTCGGGACATCCACAAACTTGGCAGTAATACATTCACTTTCCTCATCCAAGTCATTGATATATATTGTAAATAATGGTGGCCCCAGGCAGCAACTAGCACAATGCAATCTGGATCTTCGAAAGCTGAGCACTGGCAGTCCATTATAAAGCCTCACCTCCCATGTTTCACTACCCTCTGAGAGATGAAATTTCCCCCTCATCTCTCCCTTAAACGGGTGATCACTTATTCCGAGATTTCACCCTCTGGTTCTACACACTCCCACAAGGGGAAACAACTTTTCCACATCGAAGTCCTCTAAAAGAATCTTGTATGTTTCAATGAAGTTGTTTCTTATTCATCAAAACTCCAATGAGTACAGGCCCTCCAATGACTACAGGCCCAACCTACTATCCTGTTAAGACAGTCTCTCCTATCCCTGGGAATGGCTTTCCGCGCAAGAGACTTTGTCGCCTGTGCTTTGGGAAAGGGGCTGCTGGTGGCGAACTTTCCTCTTTGTTCTCTCGACGCGATTTTAAGTGACTCAGTTCCCTCGTCCATCTGTACCTCCTGCTGCTCTTTGATGTTATTTTATTCAGGGGCACACAGCTGTCCTTCTCTGGCAGAGAGGGTGGGTTTGAGCAGCATCGCAGATTGAACGAAGAGTGAGTGGCAACAGGGATAGTTTGCCTGAGATGAGCAGAACCAGGCAGCCCTCCTACCCATAATGCGTGGGGAGAGTTTTACAGCACTGCACCTCGAACAAGGTAGCTCATTTCCATTCTTCAAATATCAACTTAAAGATTTTCCCATATCTGATGACACGCAAGGAGGACAAAGCACATGCTTAACATTTAATTGCATAGCTACATTTTGCTAGAACCGATCACCGGCCAGAGCCCAAGTCTATTGTTTAGACCCATACAGCAAAGGAACAGGCCCTTCGGCCCACAATGTTGTACTAAATATGGTGCCAAATTAATCTAATCCCTTCTGCCTGCCCTTGATCCATATCCCTCCATTTGCTGCATATTCATGTTTTTTTTCCCTTTATTCATTCACGGGATGAGGGCATTGCTGGCTAGGCAGCATTTATTGTCCATCCCTAATTGCCCAGACGGCAGTTAAGAGTCAACCTCATTGCCGTGGGTCTGGAGTCACATGTGGGCCAGACCAGGTAAGGATGGCAGTTTCTTTCCCTAACGGACATTAGTGAACCAGATGGGTTTTTCCTGACAATCAACAACGGGCTCATGGTCATCGTTAGATTCTTAATTCCAGATATTTATTGAATTCAAATCCCGCCATGGCAGATGATGGAATCCGAACCTGGGTCCTCAGAACATTATCTGGGTCTCTGGATTAACAGCCCAGTGATAATACCACTAGGCTATCGCCTCCCCTGTGCTTATCTAAAAGCCCCTTAAACGCCCCTATCATATCTCCCTCCACCACCCCCTGGCAGCATGTTCCAGGCACCTACCACTCTCTGTGTAAAAAAAAAAGACTTGGCCCTCTCACCTTAAGTGCATTGAAGAAACTGTCTTGGGATCAGGCTTAGCTGCCCAGGTAACACCCCCCGCTGCCACAGGCCGGTGGAAGGATTTGCAGTTTGACCGTTTGGCTATGCTACGGACACACCTTCCTTGACTACCAAGTCCCAGAGTGGGATCCGAACTGGAAGCTTCTGACTCAGAAGCAGGGACACTACCAGATCCATGATGCTGCTTGGCCTGCTGTGTTCATCCAGCTCTGCACCTTGTTGTCTCGGATTCTCCAGCATCTGCAGTTCCTACTATCTTTGATTCAATTTTAGCTACACCTTATCATTATAGAGCTCATAGAACCTCCACCCCCTCAGTGTGGGAGCAGGACATTCAGCCCAACGTGTCCTTACTGACCTCAGAAGACCATCTCACCCAAATCGACCCCCTACCCTATCTCTGCATTTCCCACCTTTCTCGCACATCTTTGGACTGCGGGAGGAAACCGGAGCACCCGGAGGAAACCCACACAGACACGGGGAGAAAGTGCAAACTCCACACAGACAGGCACCCGAGGCTGGAATCGAACCCAGATCCCTGGTGCTGTGAGGCTGCAGTACTAACCACTGAGCTACCGTGCAGCCCTTAAACAAATATAGAATGCTTCACAAATTTGTATGTCATCCATGCGCAGGGGCCATGCTAATCTTCTCTGTATCATTCCAATTTGAGCAGATGTGCTGCGAAAGTGAGCACTAAACTACAAAGTTTCCAAAACACTTTAAATAAAGAATCTGTCACAAAGTATACAGGCCAAAGAGCAACCTCACAGTTTGACACATTCTAATAAAGTATAGGGAAGTAGATTTGTTTATAAAATCACAATTACCGTTTTGAATCTTGATATAGCCCTCTACTAAATGCAGCGCACAGAGCCTCTGGGGCCAAATTGCAGATGGAAAGCCATTATCTCCCATTAATGACCCTGGCCACAGTTATGTTGAATTCATGGTGTCCTTTGTGATGGTCACAGCTAAGGAAGTCACATTTCAGCAAAATCAAATCAAATGAACAGAGAGCAAGGGAAGCCAGACACCGACCTGAAACTGTTGCTAGGAGACATGGCTCCCAATGTGGTGTTGTGAAGAACAGGAATGACACCAGCAGTCTATCTCATCAATGGATTCTCATGGCAACCACCCGACCCTGAGGAGAAATTCTCCACGTTAGGGTCCTCCACAATTCATGAGCAGGACAGCAGAGGATTTAATTTACCCTTTAACTCAACAACTGACATTTGCAAAGCGCCTAAAGCACAGTAAAAAGGTCTCGAGGCATTTCGGAAAGAGAGATTGCCAGTTAAACATTTGACATTGTAAGGAAATATCCAGACTGACGGCCGAAAGCTTGGATTAAGACAGAGGTAGCGTCTTAAAAGGGGAGGGAGAGTTATAGAAGTTTAGGGACAGTATTCCAGAGCCTAAAGACTTTAATGACTGAAGACATAACGTTGGAGTACATTTTGAGTAAAGTGATCTCGTCAACAATTGGAATAAAGATCAATCTAATTGTTTTCTTCTCACAGCGTTCATCGAGGGAGAACAGTGACCTTGGGAGACCAGAAAAACCCACTCTGATTCTCAACAGAGGCACAAGACATTCAGATAACGCCTCTGGGCAACCAGAGAAGATCTCAGCTTATCGTTGCATCAAAAAGAGGACCACGATTGCCTACTCTGTTTTGGAGATTTAATCGTGTGAAGTTTGGTTGCAATATGAAATCATGTGTGGAGGTTTATAAAACATGAGGGGCATACATAAGGTGAATATCAAAGGTCTTTTCCCTAGGGTAGGGGAGTCCAAAACTAGAGGGAATAATTATAAGGTGACAGGAGAAAGATTTAAAAAGGGACCGGGGGGGTGGGGGGTAACTTTTTCACACAAAAGCTGGTTCATATATGGAATAAACTCCTCGAGGAAGTGGAGGGTGCAGGTACAGTTACAACATTTAAAAGACGTTTGGATAAGTATGTGAATAGGAAAAGTTTGGAGGGATATGTGCCAAATGCAGGCAAGTGGGACTAGTTTAGTTTGGGGAGCTTGGTTAGCAAAGACTAGTTGGACCAAAGGGTCTGTTTCCATGCTGTACGATTCTATGACTCTGTGTATATTTGACACTCAGCTGATGCTTAAATCAGGTCTGGTCTCCCTCCCTAAGGGAGGGTATACTTTCATGGATGGAATGGAGGTTCACTTGACCAATTTTGGGGACGGCAGGACTGTCCTGTGAGGAGAGACTGGCTCAACAGGGCCTGTGTTTGCTAGAGTTTGGGAGGATGGCAGGGGCTCTGATTGAAAATGCAAGCAGGACTGGACAGACGAGATGCAGGGAGGAGGTTTTCCTTGGTTGGTGAGTCTAGACACAGTCTCAGGACAAGGGTAGACCATTTAGGACTGAGATGAGGAAAGATTTCTTCCCTCTGAGGGCTAGTATATGTGTGGAATTCTCTACCACAGAGGGTTGTGGAGGCCAACTCACTGAAAAGATTCAAGGGAGAGACTGATACATTTGTATCCCATCCAAGGGTATGGGGAGAAAATGGGAATATAGCTTGAACATAGAGGATCAGCTGGTTATCATTCGGAATGGCAGAGCAGGGCCGAATGGAATACTCCTAGTCAGCAGTTCCTCCAGTTGTGTTACTGGCTGCAGACCTCTGAGATCCGTGTGCGGCCGTGACTTCTAGAAATTTCCACAATCAGCACGATGATGGCGAACGTCGTGTGCAGAATATCAGAGTGGCTACATATCTGTGCAGCTTAGGGAGCATTACCCTGAGGTTCCACATGACTTTCAATCGTGCGATATTTTCCCACAGTTTGCAAACTTTCACCTAGTTCAGTCAATAGTTCAGAGTCCACCTCACCCCCACTCTCCCCCCCCAATAAATCTTATTATGAAATGAGTAACATTGACTCTCTTTGACAAGTGTGAACAATAGATTAACAGAAAGCAAAAAAAACCTTTAAAAACTAGATCTAACATCGTATTCCTACAAAATCTTAGAGTTATAGAATTTTACAGTATAGAAGGAGGCCATTCAACCCATCACGTCTGTACCAGCTCCTGAAAAAGCTGCCCAGCTAGTCCCACGCTCCGGCCCCATCTCCACAGCCCTCTGACTACATCCCTTTCAAATATATATCCAGCTCTCTGTTGAAGCCTCCTATAGAATCCGCCTCCACCACTCTCCCAGGCAGCGCAGTCCAAATCCTAGCAACTCTCTGAGTGAAGAAATTTCTCCTCATCTCACTCGCAGCTCTCTTGCTGCCACCCTCGAAATTGTGACCCCTAGTTACTGACAGCAGAAACAGTATCCTTCTTTACCCTGTCAAAATTGTTCATCATTTTGAACACCTCGATAAGGTTACTTCTCAATCTTCTCTGCTCCAAGGACAATAAGCCCAATCTCTCTGATATTTCCTTCTATCTAAAATCCTTCATTCCTGGTATCGTTCTAGTAACTCAATTCCAAACAAAAAAACCTGATTCAACAAAACTGTCATCCTGGTGAGTAAATTCTAACTATAGGTTCTGTTTTTCATCACTTTCTGCAATTTACAGTGGATTACAGGAATGATAAATAACACTGTAACCAAACCCAGTACAATACTCTAACTCCCACACAACATCAATGCAGCCCTACTTCAGAGGTATGCAGAGAAACTCCCAGATCGCACACCTCCTGGGCCAGAGTACATTATACAACAGTGTACATCACACACTGACCCTGTCTCTCCCAACCACTGTTTCTCTTTCTTACCCTCCTTACTTTATGTTGCTGTCTTCCACATTTTCTCCTACTTTCTCTCTCCCTCACCTTCTCACAATATTATGCTGCTCCCACTCTCTCTTCCTGTCCCTTACTAGCTCTATCTCTCTCTCTCCTCTTCTGCCAGTTACTGGTGAACACCCACTCACTCTCTGTCCTCCTGTTTCTGATGAACATTCTCTCACCTTTCCCTGTTGATTAAAGTTCCCTCTCTCTCTTTTTTTTCCTCAGTTTCTGATTTTTCTTCAAATTTATTCTTTCTTGGGATGTGGGTGCTTTTGGCTGGGCCCAGCATTTATTGTCTGTCCCTAGTTGCCCCTTGAGAAGGTGGGGGTGAGCTGCCTTCTTGAACCACTGCAGTCCTCCTGCTGTGGATTGATCCAAAATGCTTTTGGGGGTGAATTCCAGGGTTTTGGCCCAGCGATAGTGAAGGAGCGACGACATATTTCCAAGTCAAGATGGTCAGGAGCTTGGAGGGGAACTTGTCGGAGGTGGTGTTCCCATCTATTTCCAATCCTCATCTTTCTAGGTGGCAGAAATCATGGGTTTTCAACACTGTCAAAGGATTGTCAAAGAGAGACACAGATAGATATTGAGAGAGAGAGAGAAAGAGAGAGAGATGGGTAGAGAGAGGTGGGTAGAGAGAGAGATGGGTAGAGAGAGAGAGAGAGATGGGAAGAGAGAAAGAGAGAGATGGGAAGAGAGA